GAGAAATGCTTAATAAATGCATTACACTGTAACTAAACCCATTAGATTTTAGCCGACTAAATTTACTGTAGATTTAGTCGACTAAAATCTTATGATATTTAGTCGACTAAAACTAGACTAAAACTAAAAACAATTCAACTGACTAAAATATAACTAAAACTAAATGGCATTTTAGTCAAAAGACTATGACTAAAACTGAATCAAAATTTGCTGTCAAAATTAACACTGTTCAGTATAACCCTCAAGTTCCTGCTCCTACACTGTCCTCAATTAGTTTCATAGATTTAAGAATTAATAACAGTAACGTTCTGCACTAGATGTGGACAAATGCAAATAATGCAGAACTTCAGTAGGAACCATCAGGATGATCAAAGCAAGATAAAATAAATAGATCATTTTTTGACTTTAATGGTGTTTTTAATTTTGGGTCCAAAAAGCACAAAAACCTCACAACATATGACTTTTGCGCTGCATTTCATGTCTTCTGAACTATTGACTTCATTTAACCCTATCAAGCCTACTGTATCATATTTGATGCACAAATTTCTAAGGCTTTTAAATGATCAGAACCTTGCTGTTAAACCTGTCATCTACTTCATGCCTTCTGTTGTCCGATTGATAGTTTAGACTTTTTTTATCTAAATATCTTTTAGTATAATTGTACAAACGTCCAGCTGCAGCTGGTGCTTCACGTGTCTTTTTGCCGTCAAATCTTGACTGATTTTTCTCAAGTAAACGTGAGAATAACTGTAGTAATATTTCCAGATGGACACTTACTGGACTGAAGCAGCTCGGCTTTACTTGATTCTCCATCAATCATGTTTTAGAGTCTCAAATCTGATCATCAGGATCTTTTGAGGAGCGTTTGTTTCCAGAAGCTTTACTTTCACTGTTCCTCAGCGGAGGAATGATCTTCACAAGCCTCCAGAACATCTCACATCTTCTGAGGAGCCTTTATTTCTTCAGCTCTCAATCACTGCATTATATGCTTGGATCATTTCAATCTCATCTTACTTATTGGAGATATAGAGTGACGACAGATAATTGTATGTCAGTACCTGCTGTACTGTTATAAAGATCTCATTGATTTACATTACAAGCATCACAATTTCATCTTACTTTTTGTGAATATGAATATCAACATCTGCACCAAATTGCATGTTTTTGCTGAGTTTGGGCCTCTAAATTCAGTGTTATTTTAGTATCATTGAGAAACTATTAGTTTTATAATTTTTTATTTTTATATTTTGCATTTTTGTTTTAATTTTAGTTAAAGTTTTAGTCATTTTGTTGTTCGAGTTTGTAATTTTAAGTAGTTTTTTTTATAAATATCTATATTTTTTTATAAATTTTTATTTCAGTTTTAGTTTATCTATCAAGTTTTTAAATTAAAATGACCAATATTGCCCTTGCAACTAGATTTAAAAGTTTTTTCTATTTTATTTTAGTTAATGTTTATTTCAATTGAGTTTTTATATTTTAATTTTAGCTTCCATTGTAGTTACTTATAATAAGTTACTGCTGTTTTTTCCTCCATCTTCTCACTATATCATACTATATGAGCCATAAAATCCTGACGTATAAATATCGTACTCAACAAAAAATGCACTTGCAAATATATATTTGTCTGACTATTATTTTGTCAAAATAAAGTTTAACCTTGACATGAAATAACAGCCACTGTATGTTTTTTAATGGAACCGTTTATTGACAAAATGGTGCTTTTATGGTGCTTTTTATGTATTTTTTGGAGCTTGACAGCATCTGTTCACGTTCACTTCAGTTGTACAGAAAAGTACTTTTGTGATGTTGGAAGCATACGAAAGCAGACTTGCATTGCCTTGATGTTAGTGTTAATGCTGTGATTTGATGGTGATATCTTGACACATTGTTAACCCCGTCTGTATGTGATCACAGATACCTGTACCTGCTGTTCTCGGACGATGATCTCCTGCCGCTGGAGGACTGGGTGTTTAACACGGAGGCTCATCCGCTGCCCGTTATACGCAAGAGATGCCTGCAGGAGCACAGCGCCACACAAGACCATGGACAGACCAACCTGGAGTAGTATTTACCATTACACACACACACACACACACACACACACACACACGGATTCAACCTCACGGGTCCTGACATGGATTCTCAGCTCCTTTCCTGTAAAGGATCTCTTCATACATATATATATATATATATATATATAAATATACGCTGTGATTGTATATCTCTGAGCCGAGGCTTCCCACTCTCCTCGGCGGGCGGAAGCCGGCGCAATTTTCTGTGGAAAATCAGTGAAACGTGACTTTCGATAGCTGGCCAATCACAGCACACCTCGCTTTTTTAGACCGATGAGCTTTGTAAAAATCGACGCGTTTCAAAAAGGCGGGGCATAGAGGAGAAACAATAATGTACAGTATGTGGAAAATAATGTGTTTTTTTTACTTTAAACCGCATAAACACATTTCATTACACCAAATACACAAAATAATGTTCTTTTTAGCAGCATCATATGACCCCTTTAATGAATCGCTTCAGAACCCTAAAGCAAAGATGCATTTGCATCATCCTTCAGAAATCCTAACGATTGTGAATTATTTGAATGCGCTTTTTAATTTGTCCTTTAAGTTTCATTAGCTTCATGATGATTCTTCAGTATCAAAAGCAACATTTAAATTGCATTCATTTCTGTAACTCACCTCAAACCGTTTCGATGAATCGATTCAAAAACAAAAAAGCAAAACAAAAAGCATTTTTTTCAAGATTATGAATTACACAATTATTAGAAAGCACTTTTTTAATTTGTCCATTAAGTTTCCTAAAGATTGAGTTGTTAAAATCGTTTCACGATTCTTCTTCAGTGTCAAAAACAGCATTTAAGTTTGAATTTCTTTAAACTGTCCATTTCAGTGAATGGATTCATAACTCTAAAGCAAAGATTAGCATCATCACTCAACAATGCTGACGATTGTGAATCACATCATTATTTGAATGTGCTTTTTAAATTTGCTCATTAAGTTTCATCATCCATCAGACTAGTTTCATAATGATTCTTCAGTATCGAAAACATGAATCGCTTCAAACCGTTCATTTCAATGAATGGATTCAAGACTCTAAAAAGCAAAGATGCATTTGTGTCATCAATCAAAAATGCTAAAAATTAATGTGCTTTTTTCATTTGTTCATTAGGTTTCCTAAAGATTGCATCATCAGACAGGTTTCATGATTGCTCTGCAGTGTAAACTAAACTAGCATGTGAGTGTGATTCATTTCCATGTCAAAACTCTAAAGATGTATTTGAATCATCATTCAGAAATGCTGGAGATTGTGAATCGCATGATTATTTTAATGCACTTTTTGAATTCGTTCATTATGCTTCCGAAGAAATGTCGTCAGACTAGTTTCATGATTCTTCTACAGCATTTAAGTTTAAGTAACCTCCATGAATCAGAACTCTAAAACAGATTTGCATTATCTCGCAAAAATGCTGGAGATCATGAATCATGCAATTATTTTAATTTGTTCGTTAAGTATTGCATCATCCAAACTAGTTTCATGATTCTTCTCCAGCATCAAAAGCAGCATTTAAGTTTGATTCATTTCTGTGAATCAGTTCAGATGAATCGAAACTCTGAAACAAAGATGCATTTGCATCTTCGCTCAAAAATGTTCTCAAAGTCTCCATTTTTATATTGTTTTAATAGAAATATCTGTAGGTAAATATTGCTGTTTATGACCATGTACTGTTATAGTGGTGCGTATAAATGAAAACCATTCAGCTGTGAATAACACATTGTACCGTGATTAAATTAACTCTTCAGATTTCCGCCCAAAATCAGCACAGAAAATGTGAAATTGCCTGCTTTTTTAGCACTATCGCCCAGCCCTGATCGTCTTAAAGCATCGATGGTGAATGTGAATGTTTTTTCCGGGGGTTTTGTCCCCGAAGCAACAGCGTCAGACAGTACTGGTGGAATGAATGTGAGTGATTCATGTCATTAATTGTTCCTATTTTCTCTCTCTTTCTCTTTTCTGATTTTTATGGACGTTTGTGAAAGACTCGCTCTTTTCGTTTTCCTCAGGTGTTTCTGTACAAGTTTGGATTCCAGTTATTTGCACTATTCATTACGGTAGTGCCGATCATTGTTCATTTGAACGTCTTCTGTCTCTCATTGTTGAATATTTTCAAATACTGGTAAACGATCTGTGCGATTTATACATTTAAAACGAGTGCACAAATGCTCCACGTGTCTTTCTTTGTATTCTGCATTTTCACAAGCTCACATTAGCTTTGAAAACATGGTATTAATATTTGACCTGCATTAAGTGCCACTTACATCCTCAAAATACTGCACATGATTCATAGGTTTTGCTATGAATATTCTGCACTTTGGTGACCCATTAGATTTTATAAAGCATTACTGCCACAAATCTCAGATAAACAATCTATTACACTCTAAAAAACGCTGGGTTAAATATAACCCAGCTATTGGGGAAAGACTCGTTCTTTTCGTTTTTCTCAGGTGTTTCTGTACAAGTTTTGATTACAGTTATTTGCACTATTCATTACGGTAGTGCTGATCATTGTTAATTTGAACGTCTTCTGTCTCTCATTGTTGAATATTTTCAAATACTGGTAAACGATCTGTGCGATTTATACATTTAAAACGAGTGCACAAATGCTCCACGTGTCTTTCTTTGTATTCTGCATTTTCACAAGCTCACATTAGCTTTGAAAACATGGTATTAATATTTGACCTGCATTAAGTGCCACTTACATCCTCAAAATACTGCACATGATTCATAGGTTTGGTATGAATAATCTGCACTTTGGTATCATTTTAGTTTTTATAAAGCATTAGAGCCACAAATCTCAGATAAACACTCATAACTATTAGTTACCGGTGATATTTTAGTACCATTGAGATACTATTATATATTTCATTTTATTTCAAGTTCTTTTCTATTTGTACATGTTTTTGTTCAATATTTTAAGTAATTTAGTTGCTTTTGCCGTTTTATTAGTTTTTCATATATATATATATATATTTATTTTTTATTTTATTTATTTTTTTGTCAAAAATCATTGTATGTAATGGGAAAACTCGTTAATGGCCATTTTACACACGTTTTGCATAAATAAAAATGGTCTTTAAAAATAGCTTTCATAACATAGTTGAAAATCATCTTTATATAAAATTTGGTAAAAAAAAAAGAAAATTGATTTGTGATTAAAACAAAAATCCCACTGTTTTTGCCTTTTC